CTTTTTGGAAAAAAGTTTTATATGTTCCCTTTAGCAAGGCATTTGTTTACAGTGTTGTGCTTCTGCCAATATAGGCCTACTACACAAGAGGAAGCTGCAGGTGTACATGTCAGGGAACCCAGAACACCCCTAATCACACATAAAACAATAGTGGAGGAAATATTCAGACCTAGTAATATATATCAGTGTAAGAATACTTCCTTACAACTGCATTCAGTATTTTGTCAGTACTAGAGTACTAATAAAGTTACCAGGGGCGGATCTAGAGAAGAATTCATGGGAAGGCCACCCTATGCCACCCCTCTAGCGCTGCCCCTAAAGGTCGCAGTCTGTATTTTATATTACATTCATTTGGCACATGTTTTTGTTTATAGCGACTTACAATAAGTGCATTCAGCCTCCAGCTAGATGTCATCAAAAATTATAAGATAATATTAAGAATATTGTAGTGAGGTGCTGGAAGAAAAGTTCGGCTTTTCAAAGATTTCACCTGCGTTGATTTTGAAGAAGGCCGGAGGGCCAAAATGTCATTATTGAATGATAAGGAAATTGACACAGAGTGTGCAACATCAAAAATTACTGGGACTTAATTAGCCTACTGCACTTGTATCTAAATGCCGTCATTTTTACATTTCACCTTTGAAGTGTTTTCTTTGTAACGACAGCATTCAATTCCCTTACAAGTTAATAAAATAAAAATGTCGGCTTCATAGATCCACAGAACAAAATCAGTCAAAAACATCAAACAGCTCGAGGGCCACACTTAGGTGAGTAACATAACTCTGCACAGGACAACCTGAGATCTGACGTTCAGATTAGACACGATACTTCATTCTCGGAGGGCAGTAACAGGCCTGTGACTGCCTGTGGGGGCACAGTAGCTACGTAAGTGTCGTCTTGGTTTCAAAGCTATGGTCGATTGTATTTCTGCATGACAAAATGTATTTTACCTAAGTTGGTTTTAGCTGTTTGAACATGTTCTTAAGAAACACATTTTCAAAAGTGAAGACCCTTTCTAGAGCCAGTGTTTGGTTTGTCCTTTCTGGGCTACTGTAGAAACATGGCAGTTCAACATGGCAGACTCCGTAGAAGAGGACCCGCTCCCTCTGTGGAGAAAAACCACAACATTTTTCACATTTTCAGGGGATTATACACTTATTAATGAAAACATATCTTTGAATATTATATTCCATTTCTACCCATAGATCCTCCTCAGTGTTACAAACTCGAACTTTACAATTTGTGTGAGAACCGCAAAAATATGGCAGAGGGAACGTGAGAACAGGAATATTTAAAGATGTAGAAATGTACGCCTACAGGGACTGCTCAGCCTACACGCATGTTCACACGGATATATCCACCCTCACTGGCGTTCTTTACGTTCTCAACAGTGAACACATCACATACATAATCACAACAGTCCGTTTCCAAGCTCGCATAGCTGAGGCATTGTTTGCCTGTGACGCCGGACAATTAGCTGCTTTTCCCATGTGAGACAATTGATTCCCCTAAGCCTACGTTTATTAGATTCCGCCCTGGTTGTATGAATATGGAGGAGGGCTGGCGCTGGGGGCACAATGCCTTGCTCCTGTCCGATCCTGCACATTAAGCTTGGTCATAGATTGAAAATTCTGCCCACGGCCACTACACGAGACAACAAGACTCTTTCAGATGGCGGGGCAGCCCAGACTCTGCCTTGGCAGCGTAATTTTGTGTATTTGTGTGTACACCTCTGTAGGGAGTGCTAGACAGAGGGTTAAGTGTCATTTATTCATGATCAGAATTACTTTCCAAATGTAATAAATGGTCTGAATCTGGAAACAGATGGGACAGTTACTCATTTGATTAGTTTTCCTCAGACTGAGCTCAAGATCCATGGTGACAGAGTTGCTGTTTGTGTTTTGGCTCTCCTTTTGTGTGAAGTTCAGTCACAAAGGATGAATCATCAGTGACCAAACTTAGCTTACTTTGAAGATATTTACCCATTGAAAACTCAGCTGAGCTCATATATTTATGAAAATAACTATAAACACACAACAGTGAGACAATGTCTGATCTGGTGCAATCAAATAAAGGCTCTACATGTCGGGTTCCCGTCAACCTTCTCCAGCAAGCGGATTTCTCAAATGTAATATAAATGAGAAACTTATGGAGGAGTGATTAGATAAACCTGGTATACCCAGCTGGATTTCTCCAGAGTAAAACTGATTTGCCATGTTATGTATGCATAACTGGCTTTCTAATCAGCTTTCTAATGTTGTCACAAACTAGCACGGGGACTGTGACGAGCAGGGAATCCACGCAAAAGATTAACTTAAAACAAGAGTAATTTATTAAACTAGCATTAATGCAAATCCTAAGGCAAGACAGGACAACTCCAAAGTGGGATGGGCGTCACAATGTATTGTACATGGCTTTGACAAGATTTCAGGAGAATCCATTTGAGGTTTCAATGCAATTTTCTATCCAAAATAATAATTGCATCCAAAACAGTAACTAACATAAAGTTGCCTTTCTATGAGTCACATTGCGGAAAATGTAACTGTTTCTAAAATGATGACACATTAAAGGCGGTGCTGCAAAATATGGTTGGAGATAGCTCCGCTCATTCGTCTTCCCTCCCCTCATTCTTTGCTTCCTTTCCCCTCCTCTTTTTCCTCCCTTCACCTCTTGGATTGTGTTGAACGATCAGCTGTCTGGCCCCCTTTTTTCATCCCCATGTTCCTTCAAAGAGTCAAAGCGGGGCCTCTCTGAGGTATTAAATATCTTTATTAAACTGCTGTTTTGGGGGCTCCCCCTTCAGCCCCCCTGCCTTTTCCCTTTCTCCTCCTTAAACCCCAACTATCCCCACAAACTTGGCCCCTGTCGGCTTCTCTTCAAAGGCTCCTGCCATGCGGCTTCTGCCGGCTACCTGCTGCGCTGCAAGATCATGCACAATAGCCTACGCTGGTCCCCGCTGCGTTAAACCAGGCAAGCTCCACCACACTCGGCTGGGCCACATCTGACGGGGGGACTTTGCCCAGTCCACAGGATGAGGGAGTTGAGTGAGACAGAGGGGGAGGAGGAGGAGGGGGTTGAGGATAGCTGGGAGAGAGGGGAGTGGATTTCGTAGGCCAGCTGTGTCATGGTTTAGTGACTGCTATCAAAAGACGAGCTCTGGAGTAACCAAGTTGTCCCCCACGTACAAACACAAGCATCTTTTGATAGTTCCACTCATGCACATAGTGTCACTCTGTGTGTGAAGGTGTTCCAGTCTCACGCACACACACACACACACACACACACTCTTTAACAGATGGTTGCTACAAATTTGCACCCTCACATGCCGCACACCCCTCTCTCTGAGGGTGACTACACTCTGGGACGTTCCTGACTTGCATTATGCTAAATCTTCAAACTGTGACTTTCAGTATGTCATCTATCATCACAGTGACATCACAGGAAATCACATGGTTAGCTGCTAAGAAATATCACAATACACATAGCATAGTAGCACTGGAACGGGACATAGAAGATGAGCAAAAACAGCAGGCAGATTAAGTATTAGGCATGTGGGCTCCTATACTGTGAAACAACCTGTTAAAGAAGTTATATCAGTCTGAATTGTGGTGTAACACAAGGATGTCTGTACTTTGGATATTGAGAAATGTTGATCAGGTTTGTCAAGTTGCACCAGTCATGACATCTTTAGCTGCCTACAAATCTCATGTGAAGTTCAACAGTTCACATCAAATAGTAGTGTAAATGCAAGTGTTACCAGTGATTTAACGCTCTGTGCCATTCAGTGTAGCAGAGCCTTTCCAGTGAGCCAACATGCACAACAGCAGCAGCCTGACTTTGTTTGACCGTAAATGACACGGAACCTTAATTAGTATTTCTAACACCTGTGTTTACCCTACCGTTTCATGTCAAAATGGCGGCTTTGAAAAAGGTCTATTAGATTAATCACTTGCTCTTGTCTTAAAGATCCCACACAAACACTGTGGTGTTTTCAGTTATTCTGTTGATTAGCCCTCTGCTCAGGTTCACACTGGGCATCCTGTACTAATAAGAATGACAAAGATGTAGCCTACATTGCCAGGTGCAGCAAAACTAACAAGAGTCAAAGATATCAGTGAAATCAGTGCACTGCCACTCCTGAGAGGAGGTCTACACTGTAATCAGTCTGTAAACACCGGAGTGGGTTAATCATGTGTGAGCAGAGGCATTATAAAGCTGCTCTTTGAGAATCAAGTCTTGTCAAGACACTGATAAATGATCTGCATGAACAGTTCAGACAGCAATCTTTTTCCAGACTTTGCTTTCTGCCAGGTCGTGTTCTATAAACACAGCTGAACATGCCTCGCTTTTAATTTCATACACAATATTGTAGCTACAGGAATGAACAGGGTTTAAAATGGGCTGTGACATGAGTAAATGAAGCCATTAAATAATGAAAAATATCCATCAATAAAATAAAGTATAGATGTGTCACAAGCAGATTGTTTCTCCAGTGCTAGTGCAGGATAACAGAGATAACACGTTCCATCATTATATAAAGTATTAAAAAATTGATCTAGCTGTACTAAAGGACCAAGCCCGTTGCAAGCCTGATGTGATTTTTTTTTCTAAAATCATATGTAACTATATTACATTTATAATATGTGATTTCCTAAAAATTATTGTTATTATTAATTTTTTTATTACATTGACCGAATGCCTTTTTTGTCTAATGTATTTTATGTAAATGTATTATGGCCCACCAAACTTACAATGCTTAACTACAATTTGTTATTTTGCACTGTTCTGATGTTATACATCACAAATATGCAGTCACACTTAGCAAGGGAAACAAGTAACATGCTACACAAACCTTTCCACATAAAAAGTGCCATGGAAAAGTTTTAAATATTACATCTTTTTTGTCTTACATTTTGAATACTCCCAGTCTAGACCACATTCATCAAAATGTACAAACCATTTAGATGTAGAGCTCCTAAAATTAAAATAAATGTCAGTACCTATACTGGCATCTCAGTCATCTTCCCCAAACTTTTTCTCCCTGTTGACCGAGTGCTTCCAGTGTGAAGTGGCTGCTTGATAAACTACACTTTCAATGTATCCTCCCCCACACTGCCAGTTGCAGTGCGCTCTTTGTCCACCACAATGTGAGCTGAGGAAACAAAGGTGCCATTTTGGACCCTGAGGTTTTTTGGGTGCCTTGTGTCACTCAAAACCCATCGTTGACGTGTGCAAGGCTCAGAGGACAATGGCACTTTGTGTGAGGAGAGAGCCGGGACACACCCTCCTCCTCCTATATCTCTACCTCTTATCTGTCTCTCTGTCTCGGTGTCAGGTTGCTTTACACTTCTCTCTTATCCAGTGTATTTTTTTATCCAGTTTTATTCTTGCTTTAAAGTTCTTTTTTTTAAATTTTGACTTTTTATTTCACTCTTTGTTATCATGTTTTCAGTAACACCACAGCACTACATCAAAAAAACTAGTCGAGCTAATGGCTAACATGTTAGCAGGCAGGGAACTGGCTAACACACATCAACACCAGTAATAAAAGCTCTCTGAGAAACTTTCTATTTTCACTGTACTTTTTCTGGCATTTTGTTCTCAGGTTTGTACATTTCAGTCAATGAAGACTTACTGAGGGGGAAAAAGGTCTCTGAGTTTGCTAACTCATTAGCATGGTCGCTAACAGAACAATATATTCACACAGTTTATTACACTATTTGTACCATTGTTTTAAAAACCTATATAGTACTTTAAAAAATACACTTTTAGTGTAAATTATTCTTTCTTGACATTTCCAGTACTTGCTTTTAATTTTATTTTTATCTTACAACGTTTATTGTTATACAGTAAAATACCAAGGCAAATTCCTTATATGTGAAAACGTACTGCAATATATCTGATTCGGAAGTTTTTGCAACTGGCTGGTGCAACACAGCTAATAGCTTCCTCTATTTTGAATTCTTTAGCTCAGCTTTCCCTCAGAGCTCTGGACATTTTGCTATTATTCAATGGTGTACATTTGTGTGTCAGTTCAGTTGAACTAGTAACAAAGTGGCATTTGTTACAACAGGCACAGTGAGGTGACATTTCAATCAATTGTCCATATTCACAAAATCACTTTTTTTTTTTTAATGAAAAAAGGATGTTATAGATTACTGCTGGAAATACAACAAATAATTAAAGCTGGTTCTGGACATTAATTATTGATTAGACTCAGTAACAAAATGTTTCTTGACAGTTGAGTCGAAAATGATCCATTCTGTGTTTCTGGCTTCAACTTCTTTGTTTCCCTAGAGTCCTGTAACTGGACCAGTAGGTCAGAACGAATAAAGTTGGGGTTTGTAAGACCACAGGCAGACTGACTGTGTAGGCATCACAATCACCTGCCCTCTGACCCTGATGACATCATACGACTGGCTCTCGTGCGTCTTTCATGAACCGAGGAGGTCAAGATTATTCAGTGGACTTTCAAACAAGCAAAGAGTGTGTCAAGGAGCGAGAGGCTTGGACAATTATGTATGTTTGCTCTGAGAGGCACTGCTCTCTATGTGTATGTGTGGTCAGAGTCACTGACATTGTATGAGTCAACGTGTGTGTGTGTCTGTGTGTGAAAGACATAAAAACTGTCCTGACCAACCCATCACTAAAACGTCTAAAAACCTTTCATGAGCTCAGATAAGCAGCCCTGTTTTCCAGCTAATCCAAGATTTTTTTTTAATGTTTTTTCAATCATTCAATTTCAATCAAGAGAATTGAACTGAACCCATTAAGTAACAATTAATCCTTTGTCAGACACATTCAAATTCATTCATTCAAAATCATTTTGGAGAGATGGTTGGGTATCAATTATAATCTGAAAATTAAAGCTGTCAGACAAATGTAGTGTAGTAAGTATAAAGTATAAAATGGAAATACTCAAGTACAAGTACCTCACATTTGTACCTACGTTGGCCTACATACAGTACATTTCACCACTGCTCTGCTTCTCTCTTCTCTCCTCTCATCACTCCATCTGCTGTCCTTGCCCGCTATCCTTTTTTTTCACCTGAATCCTTTTGATTTTACAGTTTAATACCAAACAAACAATTAAAAAAAAGAGTTTTGGGTGTAGTAGAGACAAATTTACTATCAAGCTGCTAACCTCAAGCAGAGATGAGGAGTGGGCTGCAGAGGTCTGGTTCAACTCCACACCACAGACAGTCATTCCAGACTTGTAGTCTTCAGTGAGGCAAATCATCCACTTTTTTCTCAATGGTGCCACAAAAGGCTTTATGCAACTTTTTTCACATGAGCAGTAGTGCTTGATGAGTTCCCTGTTTAATATTTTTACACTTTAAACCAAAGGCCATGATCATAATAGCACAATTCATTATAAAATGCAACACAAAGTGCCCTATAAAACATTTACAATAAAGCAAGAAAACAAAGATGAATACAATTAAATAGGATAGCGTTTAATTAAAAAGACAAGACAAGGTTTCTGTTTGTAGTTTGACATGACATGTTCTGACACAAAAATCTGATAGTCGATATGACTTCAAGATGATCGGAAACTGTCACGCAAACAACCCCTCCAACCAAACCTTAGCCTTTGTCCCACTGTGTTTGGGTTGCATAAATGAAACTGGATGTGCGAACTGGAAATTTAACACTGCTGTTGTACATGAGACTAAAGTCAAACAAGTACAAATGAAAAGTACACCAAATGTGTTGTATACGTGAACACGTGTATGTATGATGGGTTGTCAGTGAGGCAATATATTAGTTTCCCCTCTTTGTCCTTTCCTGATCTTCAGGCTACTTCATGTTACACATGGTTGGTTTCTGAGAAATCACTTGCAAGTCCATTCAGTAGTCAAGGAGGAAGAATCGTTTGAGGTACATGTCATCAAATGATTACGCAATGATGGATTATGTAACTTGTACATCTCTTGGCTAAATGTTAACAGCTTGAAAAAAAGTGTTCTTTTCCCAATAGACATATCAATGGACATGTCCAAATTTTGCCCAATTTCCAAGCTTCCTTTCCTGATTTTTCCTCCTGATGTTCCCATCTTTACTCTGTGTCTGCTTCCGTCTATAAGTCTCTATTTTCACACGGATCATACTGATTCAATCACACAAACTATAATTCCCACCACAGCCAGAGTTTGAGAGCTGAATGTAAGGCTCATTGTTTTGGGTTTTGAACAATTTTTGCCAAAAAATAAACAGATTTTTATAGCAGAGGAGATAAATAAAGGTAAACTGATTTATATCCAAAAGCTGTTGTTTTCCCCACTTTATGAAAACACTGTTAAATAAATAAATAAATACATTTACAGTAAACAAGTTTCTGGTACAGCACAGGATATCCTTTCAATACTGGAAAATGAAAAAAAAGCTAAATCAGCTGTTTATGCCCCTAAAAGAAAATTAAAAAAGGTTAAACTACAATGTTTACAAAGCCTCTGCTGCTTTTAAAATTAAAATCAGCTATTTGTATACATTGTTTTAATTTTGTTTAAAAATAATTTAAAAAAGAATTGGACACTCCCTGAGCGCAGGAACTCATTTTAGCAAACTGCATTCCTACAGTCTCATCTTTATTGCCTTGCATAACTTAACACACCCACACACACATACAGCGGGGGGCGTGGACTGACCATGACACACACTATGCTGACTACAAAACAGAGAAATTAATAATGGCTAATGATGCGCAGACAGACTGGGACTAGGAAAGTTTATTTTATGTATACTTTCTGATCTGCAGTTAATGATATTGTGCTGCCACGCTTCAAAAGTGATGGCAAGAATAGCAGTATCTTTATTAAAGTGAATTACTGATGAATCACCCTCATGCACAAATCATAAATCAAGAGTAGCCCAAGTTTACTCATAATCCATGACATTGAAGATTTAGAAAAATAGAAATGTATGGCAAAAATAGAATGTTGTCAATATATTAAGACCCCCCCCCAAAAAAATTTCACAAATCATGTTTTCAGGGGAGCTTATGTCTTATTAAGAGGAGCCAAGCTCCCCCTGGTTGCCCTGTGGTTCACACCCTGCACACACACACACACACACACACACACACACACACACACACACACACACACCACACACACACACACACACACCCTGCACACGCGCACATACATTTTCTAGAAGCTCTATTTCTGGCCAAAGGCACGAAAAGCTCTCAGTAGCTTCTCCTGGCCTCTTAAGTCAACAGGGACAGGAGGTCAAAGGTCAGAACTGATTGAAAGAAGCCCAAGGAGAAAAGTGGAGGGTGAGGGCCAGGAGGAGGAACAACAGCAGGGGGAGGGAGTGGGGGGTATTTTTGGCGGGAAGCTGAGACAGACCTGGAAAGTCACCTGTTTCAGACAGACAGTGAGTCAGAGTCTGCCTCAGCCGAGCCAACCTGCAGCCTCTGAATCACACTCACATGATCATACACAAGCACAGAGCTCAGATATAAAGGCATGCACACACACACACACACACACACACACAGACAACCCAACCCCCTCCCCACACCTTCACAGCCTACACACTCACAGCAAACAATAGCTACACCCCTTGCAGTTGCCCCCCTCCTGCGCAAACACTTTGAGATGATGTCATCTTTCTTTGCTTCTGTGGCATTGCTACACAAGCATGACTCAACATTTTGTGTGTGTGTGTGTGTGTGTGTGTGTGTGTGTGTGTGTGTGTGTGTGTGTGTGTGTGTGTGTGTGAGAGAGAGCTTGTTTGTGTGTGTAAAGGTGACTCATGAGGTCAAGGTCCACATTTTGAGCCTGATGTCACTTATCACTGACTAATCCTTTCTGGAACATTTGAACAAAATAGGACCGAGGGCGGCAAGGAGGGGGAAACTGGAGGGAAATTTCAAGTGTGTGCGTGTGTGTGTGTGTGTGTGTGTGTGTGTGTGTGTGTGTGTGTGTGTGTGTGAGGCACAAAACACAACTTTTGTCCCCTGCCATTCACAAGTTTGCTACACATGCACATCACATCACTCTATAAGTCTTTAATTAGACACACACCCACGGTACTTACTATAGTAACCTAAAGAAACCCA